TAGTAGTAGTAGTAGTAGTAGTAGTAGTAGTAGTAGTAGTAGTAGTAGTAGTATTCACCTGAGTTATTTTATATAAATCTGGGGAGAATGTTTTGCTGTGCAGTTAGGTGTAAAATGTAACTATTAGAAAGCTTTTACAATGTAATTAAACTCATGTGTCCAAGACATATTTAGCCATAATAATATAGGCAAATAACCAAGAACAATTAAGAGCTGAGAAACAGATGATATTCCCTGGAGCGTCAAGCAAAGGTGTTAAGTCATCTAGGTTTTCGTAACATCCTACTCTTACAGGAGAAAAGAAGAGAGAAAGAATTAATGCTCTCGATACTAACGAACAACAACTAAATGGGATTTTTTTAAAAAGACCTTTCATTTGACAGTCCCCTTCTTCGCGCCCCCTCCCCCCTCCACCCTCGTACATCCACATACCTCCTGCGTAGTCCCCGGATTCGAATCTTAGGTTCACACAAGGATATCAAGATTATATATAGAATTTCTAAGGACCTTTCATTCGGGTTTATCTGTAGGTGCAGTGCTGGTGTACCAAAGTGACCCAAGCTGTGCCTTACTACTTAATCCAAATGTGTACAAACTGCCTCTTTCTTGTCATGGCAGGCGTCCGGGGTATTTTGCAAATCGTAAAAAGACTCCACCGTTCTATGGTTTGTGTTTGTGTAGGGCCGTATTGGAATGGTTTGGAATCAGTTTAACTAGGGCATTGCCAACTCTCGTTCTTGGGACTATCTTGACAATCAAAAGCTTGTACTTTTTGTTGACAGACTCCAGTTTGGAGTTGTGTTTTACCTGCTACTTGTCTTGGTTTTCAGTCAGCAGTGTTTGATATGTCGAATTTTTTTTTTATCGAGTGGGATTTTTTTAGAACTTGGCGTGAAGGGAATTCTTGAACGATTTCAATTATGCTGAGGTTTAACTTCAGACTCAGTCCAGGTAGGGAAAACACATGTATTTTTCAACTTTGACGATTGATTCTATCAGTTGTTTAGTTCTATGTGATACTGATTCTATTTATATTCACACACACACA